CGAAAAGCCGGCAAAGAAGAAATCGCCATAAAGAACTATATAATACCCAGAGGGGGCAGATAAAAAAAGGTAAGGTGCAATCTGTCTTAAAAGGCACTACTCCCATGCTGAGCTTGGAGCATCGAGGATAGGACATCGCATTCGGACTGAAGAGTGCTTCAATTCCCTCCCAGTATATACCAAAGAGTTAAAAACAAAAACAAAAATTTACAGCTTAAAACAGCGATCAAATAATTTGAAATTCTGCCGCTGCTTTGATCAGTTCATCTGCGGAAATTTATTTTGAAAAAATTCCGTTGATTATAAAATGAATTATTGCGGATGGGCATCGAAATGCGCTTACTTGCTGGTAAATTAGGGGCCGCAAAATTCAAATACAGAGCAAAATCCAAAAAAAAAAAAAATTAGCCAGACTAATCAAGGGACCAAAATCTGGCCCATGTAAATCAAAAAGCGCCGACTTCAGGAAACGGGTCTGAAATGCTCAGAGTTGAGTCAAGCGAATACAGGGCATAAGAGTGAGGCAAAGGGATAAAAACACTGTAATATTCAGCTGAAAAAGCAGTCTTCACAAAATTGGACAGCCGAAAGTAAGTATTAATTCGATGCAGCTTAAAGGGCACCATTGCCATCATGCAAGAAAGTAAAATCCGATGGCCCATACATACTAGCAAATGATGGCAGTGAGAATAAACAGCAACGCGCACCAGACAAGCCGGTCCGATCACGCGTTTTGTGCAATTTAGTCCATCGAACGATTGCCTATTAATTATTTTCGCTGCTCTGTACTTTAGTCTATGCAAAAATAGTTCAAACATTGGAAAACAGTTAAAAATTTCACGCAACAGCGCATGTAAGCTGAATTCGAAACCTTGAAGAGTAAATATCTTTATCCTTAGTAGTTTACCCGCCAAAATTTTCATGAGGCCGTAGAGATACTCAAGGGTGCGGGAACGCTGAATTTGAATAAGCAGGTTTGGGCGTGGACAGGAGGTTATTACCCTAAAATTTCAGCCTCCTAGACTCCCTGGTTTCCGAGATATTAATTTATCTGTAAAAAACTTTCACGGGGTCGTACGTGTTACCCGCGAGTACGGGAAGGCTGAATTTAAATTTGCCGTGTCACCCGCTGGCGGGGAACACTACACAAAATTTCAGCCGCCTAGCTTTTGTGGTTCCCGAGTTGAAAGTGTGGGACAAAATGTGGCACACAAACACACACACAGACAACCCCGTGACAATATGCGTTTTGTAACACTGTTACACAGCACAAAACGCATAAAAACGGCGTACGAGTGGCCTTTGAAAAGGTAATGCACATACATCGAACAGGCGACAAACTGTACTAACTGGAGATATGCAGCTTAGGATCGAAAGACCTGGCAGAGCTACGCCTGGCATGTGCAAGCATCCGAATAACAACACTATTAGCAAGGAATGCTTATATCGACTGTCCCCGGGTGATTCTTTTTATTTCTAACATTAAATCGGACAAAGGCCAACATTTGATAATTATTTGTGCACTCACCTGACCACCGATAACAAGCTGAGTTAAAACAACATCCAGGACACTTCGATTGTCCACTCTGGGCAAACGCTCCAACATTTTTGCGATCTGTCGTAATGTAGCGATGGACTCGATGTTTCGCGAAGCATTTATATCTACAGAATCACCATCACCGTCCGCCCAGTCTTTTTCTCGTTCTTTCATTACCAGCATATCCTGCGTTGGTACTCCTTCCAGCAGATACTCCGTGCACAACCGAGTCTGTGTACGTAGAAGCCATGTCATGTGCCTAGAAATTGCATGATTAAAGCCAAATGAATTAAAAATCGGGGAAGACTAGCACACCCGGATTCTTGGCTGGATTCTGAACTATATATCACTGCATTTCAATTATAATTTAATGAAAATCCACTCAAATCTAGCAACAAGAAGGCCGCTCCAAGTTACTGCTATGGAGCAACTGAATTTATTGACTAAATGTCAAATAATTTATAACAATAACATATCTGTCGTATTGCAAAAGGAAGAAGGAGAAAGTTACAAGGAAGCGAAGTTGGAGGCTCAATCCCCTTCGCCTTGTCCAGTTGCCCTTCGGTTTCCTGTAATATGCAAAGATCCCGTCTCCTGGCTCGAGCTCCCCCTCCATGATATTTAATGTGATGATTGAGAATGAAATTGTTATTGTAATTGTTCGTCTCGTTGAAATGTGGAAGTGCGAGGCAGCAGCTTGGTGCTGCTGCCGCTTGTAATTATTACGTGTCACCGGTGACAGCTTGGAGCTGCTGCCGAGCGATTCTGGCTAGTTTGTTTTTTTTTTTCCTCATTGTTTTTTTTTATTTTGTGTGATTGTATTAATAAAGAGGTGAGTCTTAGTTGCTTGGTGTGGTACTTCCCTGCCAGGCAGGCCC